TATTTTGGAGGGAGCCTTAAATAGAAAACTGTATTTCTAGTCCCTTGTGATAGGATTGCACAAAGCAGAAATCAATGGGTGGAGCTTATAAAGAAAAGCTCTTTCAAGGAGACTCAGCTAGTAAACACCCTTTCATCCTTCCCTGCAGGAGCTCCAGCATCCGTCTTATGACGATGAGGCAATCCTGAAGATGGTGTAGAATGGAACATAAGTCTGGGACAGTGATGGCACCATTACTTCACATTACCCCTGGACTCCTTTCTCCCACACTTCTTTTAAGGGATTGGGAAAGAAATTCCTCATTTGTTTAAGCTGCTATTATTTTGGCTTAAATGCAGTTCTTAACTGATACTCACACCTACCTTAGGTTGCCATTATTTTCCTTATGCATGAGAACTATAAATTAATATCAGAAACATATGATTTTTTCATAATTATATATGAATTCTTGCTCTAACTATTGAATAAAATTTATACCAATAATTCTAAGTGTAGGTTAAATCTAGTCTTTTGTTGCATTTATAAAAGTGCCAGATTCTATTACAGATAGCTCTCTGCATTGGACGGACACCATCTGAAGACTGAGTCAAGAACCATGCTCTTAATGGGCAGGTGAAATAAGTGGCTATTTAGTATATCTTATTCCTATTGTGTTTCACACAATAGCACAAACATACATCTCTCGAAGAATTTCTAAGGATTTTCACCAACAGTGACAAAAGATACACAGGAGTTAAAAAGTCCCCTCTTCATGCAGCTTTTCTTATTTGCACTATCTAGCTGGCCTGAGAACCCAGAAACAGCAGTGATCACTTTGTGAAAATTCTTATGGATGTGTCATTTGCTTCTCACTCTACTTTTCTAGTCTCTATTAGTATGAGAAGCCCCTGGGCATGGGAGGAACCAGGCAAAGGAGAGAAGAGCCAGGGGGATCCCCCCACAATGGTCTTAGGCTTGGCTCTCCTCTAGCTGTCTTTTGTATGTAAGAACTCCAGGAACATTGAGCATATGTTAAATTCAGGCCCACATGCATGAGTGTTTGTGAGAGGCACAAAATAATTTCATATAATTATTTCAAAATTTCATTAATTCTGCAGATAATTTCAGTAGTAATAAAATTCATTTCCTATATTTAGTATTACCTGCTCCATGGTGCTAAGCAAAGTCTAGTAAGTATATAAACTTCTTGAGTGGTGCTGCACATAAAAAATGTGATTCATGTGTATGTTTACAACCACAAAGACACATTAATCTGTAGCCTACAGAAAGACTGAAGTTCTTTTACAAATTAAACAGAGACACTTGTGCTAACTGCTGAAGATGCAACTAGAAAACCCAGCCTTCTATTCTGGGATCTTAAACCTGGTGCCTTCAGCAAAGAGCATTATCAATGATGTGAAGTCATATTTGGCTTCTGGTGAATAGCAGTGGGGTTTTTCCTCCTAAGATGCTCCTGTGAGGTGGTGTATCTTCTTCCTGTGATGTGCCTGACAACACTAACCTTTCTCCCCTGAGGGCAGTGTGTATGCCCAGAGGAGGAGTTCCCAGGGGCTTCACACATCCCTGATCTATCATCTCCCTCTCGTCCATGGCCCCCGTGGTCTCCACTTTGATTTTAGCATCAACCCTAAACTTTTTCTCTTTTCTTAAACTGATTCATGAAGGTTTTTTTGATGTAAAATGATATAGAATGACCAAATTCTTGTCCACTACCCACAAGAGAGGTGATTAAGAAAGGCCTCTGCACACGTGATGGTGTACCTCTACGGCAGGACAGGCAGGAGGCTCCACACCCCTGGGCAGATCTGGGGCCTTAAAGGCCATTAGAGATGCAGGGGTAGGTTGTCCCAGTCACCGCTCCAGGAGGCTGGCAAAGCTTGTAGAATCCTGAAAAGATAGGACACCTCTTCTCCACGGAAACTCTAACCCTCTCTGGAGAGTTCACTTTCTGTTGGAAATTTAAGACTTTGCAAACACCATGCTGCTGCTGCTGCTAAGTCGCTTCAGTCGTGTCCAACTCTGTGCAACCCCAGAGATGGCAGCTCACCAGGCTCCCCTGTCCCTGGGATTCTCCAGACGAGAACACTTCTCCAATGCAAAGAAGTGAAAAGTGAAAATGAAGTTACTCAGTCGTGTCCAACTCTTAGCGACCCCATGGACTGCAGCCCACCAGGCTTCTCCGTCCATGGGATTTTCCAGGCAAGAGTACTGGAGTGGGTTGCCATTGCCTTCTCCGTGCAAACACCATAAGACCTTCCAAAGTCACAAGGTGACCATAATGAGTGTCGGGCTTAGAATAATTAGGCCGGGATGATGGGAGAGGGGTGGGACCTGCAGTAGTGTTCTCTCTAATTAGAGTCCCAAATGATTTTAAGTGATTTCCCTACTTAACCAAAAAAAGCAATAGCAGCAGCACCCCCTCCTTCCACCATTAAAAGGAGAAAGATGGGTATCTTTAATTGAAAGCAAAGCAGCACAAAACTCTTTAATTATAGGCTCAAAGGGGCTTTGAGCTCATCTTGTAGCTTCTTGACTTTCAGCAGGACAGTATTAAACCTTCCTAAAAAGATAAGACTCAACCTATTTTTAAACATATCCAAAGACGGCATTCTAGTCTTCTGTTCCTTTGTTAGGGGAGTTTTTTTTCCTTTTCTAACCTCACCACAGGTAAGTCCCTATCACTAACCTGAGATATCACATTAGAGTTTGGCTTAGTTTGCTCAGCGGAAGTATACAGCTGGACACAATTAGCCTTTTTCTAAACTGTACTTCTCTGTCCATCGGTATGAAATTATAACAAATTACAACAATTAATTAAGATATTTGGGTTTAAATCAATATGTTTGGGGCTAGATGCCAATGAAATCACTTACTGATTAAAGACTGCCACCCTTCCTTTTTTTTTCCATAACTTTTACTTTCTCTACCATGGGCTCCAATACTAATGTCTCTCCCTTTACCATCTCTCTGCTACACAGACACAACAATAACAAATGTGCACCCTCCCTCTTAATGTAAATTAAGAAATATCCTTGAAACCACTAGTTAATATTTAGATCTTGTCCTTACTGTTCACATCCAGGGGTAACAGTGAAGGACGCAGACATTGGAGCCCAATGTCTGTGCTTAAATCCTAGCTCTGGCACCATGAGCATATTTTATCTCCCTATGGGTCTGTTTTCTCATCTGAGAAGTGGAGACAATAATACTATCTACCTTACATGAGTTACTACATTACAAGCCCTTTAGAATGGTGCCCAGTACTCTAACTGTAAGTGCTATATATTTGTAGCTATTGTTACACCCTCCTTGCAGCAAAGTGACATTCAGAGACATTAAATGATGCCTGATGTTCCAATAGGCAAAAGTCTGTGAAAGAAAAGAAGCAGGATTTAAGTTTAAGGGGAGTGAAAAAGCACGAAGAGTGAGGTGAGAAATTTTAAAAGAAAAAAAGGAAATAAGACAGCAAAAATTATAGGGAAAGAGTAAAGCAGACATTTAATGAGGGGAAAGTTAAGAAGAGAAAAATACAAGGTGAGGGGGGAAAAAAAGAAGTAAAAAGGAAACAAGAGCAAAAAGGTGAGCATGAAAAAGGAAGAAATGGAGGAATGAGAGTAACAAAAGAGACCAAAAATGAGAAAGGACCCCACTTAGATCTAGCCTGAGCTATCAGAAAAAGAAAGGAGTGAAAGAGAAAACAGAAATGTTGGAACAGAAGAGACAGGGAAGAGAGGGAGATGAAAGTGGTGACAGGAAGGCTTCATTTTTCAGCAAGGCCTCTCTGTCTTTGAATTAGGGGAAGTTTACATCCAAAAGTAACACACCTCTGATCGGCCAGAGTTCCTTCCCAATTCTTCCTATTGCCTTAGAGTCTGCCCCGGACTAGCTCCCTAAGGTTTGTCCTGGTCGGCGTCTGCCTTGCGTCTGGTCCGCTCTACCCTTAAGGCCAAGACGCAGTCTTCACTACGTTTTCCCTAAATACTCCAACCATCCTTTTCAACTGAAAAATTAGCTCTAGAGCAAATATTTACACCCTATTCCTTCTCCAAACCGTCAGAAACCTATAAGGGGTGGTGGTATTTCTTCTTTTAAAATTATTCACTTTGAAATATTCCTCGCCCTCCCTTCTTTTTCCTGAGCGGGGGGAGGGGGGTTTATTTAGAACAAGAGGACAAAACGATACAGTGCCGCAGGGGTATGCCGCTTCTAGACCTACCATTTGTCCTTCCCACCAAAGGGAATTAATCACTCAATCACTTGGAAACGAGAGGCTGGCTCTAAATATAAAAAAATACGATCAGTATTTAACAAATACTTTTAAAGTATTATGATTAAATTGCCTGTTTGGTGCAAAATACGCCTCCCTCTTGGAGGAAGTCGAGAGACCTTAGAGGGCCCTCTGGGCAAACGGAGCGGACGGGCCGCGAGCGTCTGCTCACGCCGGGGTGAACCTGGGCCGCCGCCGCCGCCGCCGGAGTCACGAAGCCAGACGCGGCGCGTCTCCGCCCAGGACCCGGGAGACTGCAGCAACACGGCCGCAGCCCCGGCGGTTCCCGGAGGCGGAGAGGAGACGCGACTCCCGCAGACACGTGACCTCCTCCAGGCCGCCGCTTCCCGCGACCCAGACTCGTCCCCGGAACCCGCGCTCGGCGGGGTGGGCCGGGGGACACGTAGCGACAGCCCCGGTCCCTGCTGCGTCCGGGTGCGCGTGCATTTCGGCGTACTTCGCCCCTTGATTCACGTGCCACTGGCAATAACGAATGTTTCGGGGATCACCCGGGAGAATGCAAGAAGGAAAGACGTTGGGTTTGAAATCGATCTACTTGATACAGATTAACATATTTTCTCTCCATCCTTGCCCTGGCAGACGCGAGTGGCGGCAGCGGGGCCAGAGACCTGGGGGTCCCGCAGAAGGCTCTTCCCCACGCTTGGTCTCCAAGCTCCCTGGCCCTCCGCTGCGCAAATGCGGGCACCTCCGGGTAACTCTCACTAGCAGTGAGTCATGCTCCCGGGATGGCTCTAGGGAAAGGTAGCCCTGCTCCGCTCGCCTGTGCTTTCCCCGCGCCGGGTGCCGCGGCTGCAGGGCGAGCGCGCGCGCGCACGGGTTCCCCGCGCAGTGATGTGGCAGCCGCGGCAGGTCGGATCACGTTGCTGGCCCTGTGCTGGTACCCGTTGGAGACAGGATTAAGGAGGGAGGCTTTGGAGGTGCCAGCGGTAGTAAACGTGGGCTCTGCACACTCCCGGCGTCGCTTATCACACGCGGGGGGAGGGGGCGGGGAAAGCACGCAGCGCCACCCGAGACGCGGGGGGCGGCGGAGTTGAGCCCGCGAACGATACTGCTGCATTGCTTCTCCGCCGTCGCCCCTCTCTTGCCACCCCATCCTCTCCCCTCCCTCCCCGCCTCGTCCCTCCGGGAGCGCCTGAGGCCCCGAACGTCGTCATCTGCGGCTGTGACTAGTGGCACCGCAATTCCGGCGGCTGCGGGAAGTTTGGGTGGCCCAGGGACACCGTGTGGCCGAAAGACACTGGGGTTGCGACATTCTGCCCTAGTGGCTCCAGTTGCATTTATCTTATATCCTTCAGGGAGCGGATTTCAAACTGTCCCTTTTCGGGACAACCTCCAATCAGGGCTATAAGGGGTTTCCCCCCACCCAGGCCGCCCAGCGGTGCGCAAACAAGTTTCCAAATTGTCCTCTGGGACTGAAGCTGACCCACCGCGAATTCTGTTTCTCTTTCCTTTCTCTGGTCCAAACCAACAGCACAGTCGGTGGAAAGGCAAAGAGCCACGTTCACGTTCCTGAACCGTCATGACGGACGGGTGGAGGGAGTCGCACTTCCGAGGCGAGGAAGCCCCGGCGGCCCCGCACCCCAGGCGCCCCCTCCCATTCCCCAGCTGACTGCACCGCCCTCGGGAAGATGAAGAGCTTGGCTGGAGTTGTTTTGCCTTTCCGGTGGCCCTGATCAGGTGTCCCCGCCCCCCTCCCGCCGGTCGCCTCCCCTCGCAGCCCGCTCCCTGCGCCCCCTCCCGGCCCGGCCCCTCCTCCCCCGCCCCCCTCCGGGCTGGACCGCGGATGGTACGTTCCGCACGTGAGCTGGGTGCTGGTCTGGCCGGCGACGCGCGTGCCCTGTGGCCAAACACTGCCCGGAGTGAGAGCAAACTCCCAGCGCAGTGGGGCCGGCGCGAGTGTGCGTGCGTGTGTGTGCGTGTGTGTGCGAGAGAGCAAGCGCGGCGGGAGGGGGGGGGACCAACTGCTTCACACTTTCAACACTGCACTGAAGAGGGAGAGAGAGAAAGAGAGAGACTGGAGACCTACAGATCCCCCAAGATCTCCCAAAGCTACCGTCCCACAGATTATAAACCCCAAAAATCGAAACAGAGGAAACGGACAGCGGTTGAACATGGACGAAGGAATTCCTCATTTGCAAGAGAGACAGTTACTGGAACATAGAGATTTTATAGGGTAAGGTGCACGCACCCTTGCGAATATCTGTCTAGGCTTCAGTTTGATTTTTTTTTTCTCCTCCAGAAAGTGGTGTGAAGCGGGCGAGGGCAGAGCCCCTCCCCGAATGGGTGCCTGATGCTGATTTCTGTTTTGCAGACTGGATTATCCCTCTTTGTATATGTGTAAGCCCAAAAGGAGCATGAAGCGAGACGATAGCAAGGTAAGTGTAGTTTCCGATGTTCCCCATAACCTGCCTGGGTAGTTAATTAGGGCCATTGATTTCAAAGGGAAGCTCTGCCCGCAAATATATTCCAGCCTTTGAGCTTCCCCAACTGTGAATTTTAAGTGGTTTGCTGGATACTCCCGGGGAGATTAAACATCATACCTGAATTTAAATTGCATTTCAGAACAGCCCAGAGGAAAGAGGTGTCTTGAGCATAGTTTCTCACGTAGTATTGGGGGGGGGGCAGTATTTTTATATCCAGTAAGTGAATATTTAGCTTATCGTTTTTTCTCTTCCATGACTCTCATATTTGTAGGACACCTACAAATTACCGCACAGATTAATAGAAAAGAAAAGAAGAGACCGAATTAATGAATGCATTGCTCAGCTGAAAGACTTACTGCCTGAACATCTAAAGTTGACAGTAAGATGCACATTTTTATTCTTTGCTGTTCTCCGGGGTCGTGTTAATAGCCTGGTTCCACTCCCAAGAGATATAAGAATAAATGTAAATATCACATGCCTTGCAACTTGTGCTATAGTGTAGAGTTTCCTGCAAACTCAAGAGTAGGTGTTCACAACTGAAGGCAAGAAATCATTTATAACCTGTATGGTGGAAAACTCAAGAAGTATAGGAATAGTACTTCTTTCAAGTATTTGCTTAAGTTGCTGTGCCGAATGGAGAGCATGTCTAGCCAAATGTATGTTTTTAAGTAACCAAGTGCCCCCTTCTTTTTTGCATCATTGCAGACTCTGGGGCACCTGGAGAAAGCGGTAGTCCTGGAATTAACTTTGAAACACTTAAAAGCTTTGACGGCCTTAACGGAGCAGCAACATCAGAAGATAATTGCTTTACAGAATGGTAAGTCAGTTTAGGGAGGCCAACGCACCCCCGATGAAACGGCAACCCACAGAGTACTGTTAGGATTCTTCCCCCACCTCCACCTCCTTCCCGGGGCTCACTTTCATTTGTTAAATTGCTTACACTTTCCCTTCATTGGAAAGTGCCCACTTCCCGACGCATCCTAGAGGCTTCCAACAGAATTCGGAGGAATCAAATTTTTATATAAAGTGGTGGTTGCCCCCTCTCCACTTTGGTTTCTCAGCTGGGACTAGAGCGCCCCCCTCCTACCCCACCCCCGCCACCCCTACTCCTCCCACCCCTCGGCAACCGGTGGATAATATCATTCGAATACAGAGGGAAAACCGAGATCACTTTAGTCAGTGCAGGGCCCACGTGATAAGCAGATGTTTCAACGTCGATATTTTTCTTCTTGCCTTCATTCCTCTGTTCCCTTCCCCCGCCCCCCACCCCTTCCTCATCCTAGGGGAGCGATCTCTGAAATCGCCCATTCAGTCCGACTTGGATGCGTTCCATTCGGGATTTCAAACATGCGCCAAAGAAGTCTTGCAATACCTCGCCCGGTTTGAGAGCTGGACGCCCAGGGAGCCGCGGTGTGTCCAGCTGATCAACCACTTGCACGCCGTGGCCACCCAGTTCTTGCCCACCCCGCAGCTGTTGACTCAACAGGTTCCTCTGAGCAAAGGCACCAGCGCGCCCACGGCCGCCGCCCCCGTCGGCTCCGGGGCCGCCCCCTGCCTGGAGCGCGCGGGGCAGAAGCTGGAGCCCCTCGCCCACTGTGTGCCGGTCATCCAGCGGACTCAGCCCAGCGCCGAGCTCGCCGCCGCCGAGAACGACACGGACACCGACAGCGGCTACGGTGGGGAGGCCGAGGCCCGGCCGGACCGCGAGAAGGGCAAAGGCGCGGGGGCGAGCCGCGTCACCATCAAGCAGGAGCCCCTCGGGGAGGACTCGCCGGCGCCCAAGAGGATGAGGCTGGATACCCGCGGCGGCGGCGGCGGCGGCGGCGGCGGCCCGGGGGGCGGCGTGGCGGCGGCGGCGGCCGCGCTCCTGGGGCCCGACCCGGCCGCCGCGGCCGCGCTGCTGAGACCCGACACCGCCCTGCTCAGCTCGCTGGTGGCGTTCGGCGGAGGCGGGGGCGCGCCCTTCGCGCAGCCCGCGGCCGCCGCGGCCCCCTTCTGCCTGCCGTTCTACTTCCTCTCGCCTTCGGCGGCCGCCGCCTACGTGCAGCCCTTCCTGGACAAGAGCGGCCTGGAGAAGTACCTGTACCCGGCGGCGGCCGCCGCCCCGTTCCCACTGCTGTACCCCGGCATCCCCGCTCCGGCCGCCGCCGCTGCTGCCGCCGCGGCCGCCGCCGCCGCCGCCGCCTTCCCCTGCCTGTCCTCCGTGTTGTCGCCCCCTCCCGAGAAGGCGGCGGCCGCCGCCGCAGCCGCGACCCTCCTGCCGCACGAAGTGGCGCCCCCTGGGGCTCTGCACCCCGCGCACCCGCACGGCCGCACCCACCTGCCCTTCGCCGGCGCTCGCGAGCCCGGGAACCCGGAGAGCTCCGCTCAGGAAGATCCCTCGCAGCCAGCAAAGGAAACCCTCTGAATCCGTGCTCCACTGAAGAGGGGACCCGGGGTCATGCGGAATAATCATATTAATAAGTTAAAACACCCTTAACGTTTTTAAGGGAGGAAGTGTAAGAGATGCACGACAGGCTTTAAAAAAAAACAACACAACAACACAGGTGTTTTGTGTACATGTGGAGTTCCTGTTTTGCTCACCCCACACCGCCCGCTATCCTCACACACCTACATCCCTTTTTTCCCCCACAGCTGTCAAAGAACCTCCTAGATACCGATTCTTTTCTTTCTTTGAAGAACTCCCCATAATAAGTTTGGCCTTCTTTTAGGCCACGTTCCATTCTCTTTTAAAATACAGAACCGAATTCTCGAGGAAGTGAGAACGGTCTGCTCTCTGAACCAGGGTAGGAGAAGGTAACGTGGAACCCCAGGTAGCTGGTCTCTGCCTGCGTCTCAGAGCTGTCCTGCCTGCTTTAGGAGGCTTTCCACAGGCAGAAGGAGGACCTTTTCGAATTCGACTTACTCTTCAGTATTTTATAATGTTCAGCTTTTTAAAAGGCGTGCATTTGTCAAAGAGGAAGAGGTGAGAGTGCAGGCGCTCGCGTGGCAACCCATTCTGAAGTGGTTTGAGTGGTGTCTCTTACTTAGTACTTGCACTCCTTTAAAAGAGATGCGGAGTTGGGCCATGGTCGGAACTAAGTCAGGGAAAGAGATGGATGAGGAAGGCCAGAGTCATTCTCAGTACATTTGCTAGCACTTTATTGAGAAATTGACCGTGAATCAATTAACTCATCTTAATTTCATATATATACATATATATGTGGAATTGAGTGCCTCTGTTCTTACCCTGTCATTATTTAATCCATCGTTTCTAAGTTTGTATCATCTTCCTGTTAAAACAAAAAAGAATGTGCACTGAACTTTAAAAAGTCCAAACTGATTTATCGTATATTCTGTTAATTCACAAAAATGGAGGAGGAAGGCATGGACAGTTTCCTTTGGAAATGCCGTAAACATGTGGAATGGAGCCCTGTGAGGCCTTCCTATCTCCAAGTCTATGTATTTTCTGGAGACCAAACCAGATACTAGATAATCACAAAGAAAGCTTTTTTAATAAGGCTTAAACCAAGACCTTGTCTAGATATTTTTAGTGTGTTGCCAAGGTAGCACTGTGAGAAATCTCACTTGAATGTTATGTAAGGGGTGAGACACAACAGTCTGACTATGAGTGAAGAAAATATCTGGGTCGTTAGTCCGTTTGGTGCATTTGCTGCTGCTGTTGCTACTGTTTGCCTCAAACGCTGTGTTTAAACAACGTTAAACTCTTAGCCTACAAGGTGGCTCTTATGTACATAGTTGTTAATACATCCAATTAATGATGTCTGACATGCTATTTTTGTAGGGAGAAAATACGTGCTAATGATATTTTGAGTTAAAATATCTTTGGGGGAGGACTTGCTGAAAAGTTGCACTTTTGTTACAATGCTTATGCTTGGTACAAGCTTATGCTGTCTTAAATTATTAAAAAAAAAATAAATACTGTCTGCAAGAAACCAGCTGGTTTAGAAAAGTTTAGTATGTGAAGATAAACTAGAAATCATCTTTATATTCTAGTCTTTTCAGCACTCCATAAATTCTATTACCGAAAATAAATATTGCCACGCTATTTTGTGATTTTAAAATTCTTACTAAGGAATAAAAACTTTAATATATGTACGCTATGAGATCGTCTAATAATTAAAAAGGCATAAGGGATGCTTGATTAGTTGTAAGATATCTAAGAATACAGGGATGAAGGTCATTTAGGTTCTCCAATACCCAACTTTATCTTTGGCTGGATATCACACATTTCAAATGTCTTGCAAGCCTCCAGGTTCTAGCTGTATCTACTTGCTTGTTCCCAGTGTATTTACATGAAAAGTGCAAAAGAAAAACCTACCAATCACTCACCTAGTTTGTTTTATGTCACACCCAGTTTCTAATACTTTCATGATTGAGGGGTGTATCCCTTTTCATCTTTGACACCAGATAGCCTCTGATATATGGCCTGGTGTTTCTCTTTCACTGGGTCCCATATAAATACTGTACCACTAATATTTCGGTATATTTTAGCTTCTTAAGCTTTATAAAGTAAGTCTCTTGTGGGACTTTATTATGGAATTCAAGTAAGAGAAATAATTATTGCTAGACTTTTCTCAAGTTTACAATCAGATTTGTGATTTGATACCAAATGTGTGAAGGATTGTCAATATTTAGTTTCAATAATGTTCACAAACCTCTTTATTTCTTAGAGGTATTGAAATAGTAGTCAAAATTTATGAGATGTAGAAAAAGTGCTCCCTCTGCTGACTTTATGGCAACCAAACTGCAAGTCATAGAAAGTGGAGCCGGAAGGAAGCTCAGAGAACAGCTGTCCAGCCCCCTGCATTTTGAATAGAAATGAAGCCCAGAGAGATCAGATATCTGCCCAAGGTCACACAGCTACCCAGAGCAAGCACTAGAGGCCAGATGTGTTGTATTTCCCAGTCAGTGAACTACTTCCCACTGCAGCATCTTCAACCAAATAAGCCAAATTTGATTGGGCAGCATTCAAATAAGCCACAGGAACAAAGGAAACAAATATTAACATTGCAAAACTATGTAGGATTTTTGAGCATTTTAGCTTATTGAACTTTAAAAAAATATTCAAAGCCAAAATAAAGGAAAAAATAGCATTTTGAATACTTTGAGCTACATGTTGTAATAATACGTTTTATAGCCAAAAGAGATGCAAAGTAAGTCAGGATAATAAAATGTTTTAGCATTTGTATAGTTTCGGTGTAATAAAAGAAAAAACCTTAGGATTGGGTCAGATTTTAGAGAGTAGTTTTTTAGTTCAAATGCCTTTATACTAGCATGGTAATAAGATAAAGTTGCTGAGGATAGAGTTGCAAAATAATATTATCTGTACTGCATCTGAAAAACTTTATTTTAGTCATTGATTTATTTTAATGAACCAAAAGACAAGTCATTATAATTTGCTGAAGAGGATTCTATACCTATTGCTGTGAAGTTTAGCCTAGATCCTTTGTAGTATATGTGATTTTTCAACATATCACAAATACGAATCTTACGTCAATAATGTTTACCAATTAATTTTATATACACAGAGCTCTTAGCAAAGTTCATACTGAACTGATAAAAATCCTTTCCTACCCCAAAGGACTAAGCATATTTATAAGGCACTGGGAACTACAGTTTAATAGCTCTTTAAAGTATGGCTGGAATTTTAGTTTCTATCATTGTGAAAACTATTTCTCATTTTCTTCTCTGCTACTAACCATACAGTCCACAACATTTGTTATTGCCCATTACCTGAGGTTTGTTCAAAAGTATGTCAAGCCTCAGGCTGTTCCTGCCCACGTCACAGGTTCACCTCTTCATGGGAGGTGAACTCCAGTAGAGATTCTGGGAAGACAAGGCTGTACGGACTAGGCAGGACTTTTTACTTTAGACAGAAATGAACAGAGCCCTCATGAAAAAATTAAGCCCATTATAATGCCCAAAGTTGGCTATATTATTGTGATAAAAGTATTTTACTTCAGAGAGCAATCTGATGTTTTTCATTCAACAAAAATTCTTAACCTATTAGACCCGCAGATCAGTATTTAGGCCTACCCATTGTTCTAACTGTGCTGTTTTAAATAAGGCCAAATGGGTGTACAGTGCATATGTGTGTGAAGTCACTTCAGTCATGTCCGATTCTTTGTGACCCCATGGACTGTAGCCCACCAGGCTCCTCTGTCCATGGGATTCTCCCTGCAAGAATACTGGAGTGGGTTGCCATTTCCTTTTCCAGAGGATCTTCTTGACCCAGTGATCGAACCCACACGTCTTGCATTGCCTGCATTGGGAGGCGGATTCTTTACCACTGGGGTTACCTGGGAAGCCCCCATGAGGATGCATAACTCCCCATACAGTGCATACTTAAGCCCAATGTAAGTTCCAGTTTTTCATAGAATTTAATATGGGATCCACATGGAAAATTATCATATATTTTCTATGATTAGGATGGGATTTATACTAAAAAAAAAAACAAAAACAAAAGACATGTGCAGCACATACTTTTAAAAAAAATGCTCCGGGAAAGGAATTGGACATTTGTCTTAAAATTAGGTTTCTTGCACTTGTTCAGTGATTCCATATTGAAAACTCTGAACAAATGTAAAACTAAACCTTTATAAAAGCTGATGTTTTAAAATCTTGAACTAAGTGATGTCCAATTTATGTGACTTCAGGGAATGATATGTGCCCCATGAAACAACGGTTGATAAAACAGAAGTTTCTGTGTTCAGGTGCCAACATTGTCTATCTTTTCTTTTTCTTTAGTATTTCAGTGAAAAGCTTAGTAAAATATGTTACACGTATCTCAGAAAGAAATACCTATCTGTAGTTAACCTTTCTCCAGAATTCAGGGTCATCGTTATAAACACCACTTTTGCACTGCGAAGATCATCTGGGAAGACTAGCAGCTGCACTAAATCCCTTTTTGAGTCCTTATATCTGCTTTAATTTCAGTCTCTTTACTCAGGGTCAGGCTACCAGCTTCACTTCTTGATGTGTCGGAGCCTTTGCCTCTAAGTCTTATCTCATTTGCTACTTCTGACTTACTGTAGCCTGGGAAACCATTTAACCAAAACTCCACCCTTTGAAACGCGTATAAAATGAGAATAAATACGTTCTAACAGAGTACCTGAGGGGCGCTTCTCTAAATTCTGTGAGCTTGTAGAATCAATGACATGTTGATCTTGCCAACTTATTTTCTTCCTTTAACTTTCACATTCTCAGCAATATTCCATATCAGAAACACTTATGCAAAAGCCTTCAAACACTTTATATATATATATATTTAATCATTTTATTACAGAAAAATGGTTTTATTTTACAGTCACTACAAAATAAATTCCAATGCCAGAAGCCAATTATTTGATTTGATGAATACTCTTTCTCTCAGGCTGATAGGAATAGGGGACCAATGGCCTTCAGTGAAAACTGATCCTGCATTTTGATTCATGGATGACTCTGGACCCTGCTTCTGGTATACCATCTCCTCCGCCTCTAGGTTTTGGATATCTTGGTTGGCAGGTCCAGATAAAGCACTCTGGGAACTGACAGGGAAGACATGTAGGCCCTGATGCGGCCTCTGAATTTAGACATGCCCATTGGAGAGCCTTGAGAGGTTCCAGACTTCTTGTGTGTGGATTGCAACAGACTCCTTTTTCCTTGAGCCTACATATTCAAGAAATAGGGGTTATGGGCATTTGTTTTTCTCCTACTGTGTGTGAGGTGCTGTGGTAAGAGCTGGAAAATCAAAGATTAATGATCTCAGAATCTCAAAGTCTACTAGGGGTGACAGACCTACACTAAAATAAATTACAGTGCAACATAGTAAGTGGTCTGTAGCTGTGATTATAATACTTGGGGATGAAGGTTGCTAACTTCATCTGGGTGGACCAGAGAAGACCTTAAGAGGTAGCTCTGTTTTACAGAAGGAATAGGAGAGTAAGTCCATCTCCAAAGAGAAGGCTCTGGCGCAGTCTGGTCATGTGCTAAGCACCAGGACCATTTAATTGGTTATATTTGACCCGAGGTCTGAGTAAGTACTTACTAACGTCTCAAGTCTCTTTCTAACTTGACTGCCATACTGACTCTCACCATCGTCTCCTCCTGAGGATCTGGGCCATAAGGCGTGATTGAGGCAGGGTCATGGTATTTCCTACTGCAAAGAATAGTATTCATAAGTTGATAATATCTAATGAAGTAAAGGGGGAAAAAATAGTACCTGGCAAGCAGCTGTGTCTCACCTCACCCATCCATCTTCAAAAGAAACTAAGGATGACTTCTTCCCCTACAGGTAGGGGCATGATTATCCAAGTGCTCCACTCAGTACCCAAAGGGGAAATGAGAGAAAGGAACCCTAGAGGGAAACAAGAATCCTAAAGCCTGTTTTTCCAAACCTCTGGGACAAAGCTGAAGCAGCCAACTAATCCAAGGTCAGGTAACTCAGTAAGTAGCAGAACCAAGACTAGAACCAGATTTTTTGGTTTTAAGTCCACTGTTGTTTATACCATTATCCTATAGTATAGTAATTAGGAGGGCGATAGGCTGAGGTTATCTCTTTAAATGAAGTAAGCCAGTCCATTTGAGGTCATAAGAAGCAGACTGTGTGTTTTTGGTGAACAAGGGAAGATTAGTGCAGTGATAGATAGCCTTTTCAAATTATGTCATAAGAGCATGAAATAATTATGATGGTGAGATTCTGGAATAACAATTTTCAACGTACCCTACAAAGAACCATACAATTTTGCTGTCTACTCACTTTGGAGACATCCAGAAAGGTTTCCTCCTTGGTTTGGAAGTCCCCACATAATCTGGTGAGTTTACCACCTCTGTCTCTACCCCTCTGTACCTAGTGATTCTAAAGTTTCTCCATGAAAGAAGGGATCAAGCTAAGCCAAGCATCTGGACCGAGAGAATCTTTAGAATTGAGGAAGTAGAAAAGAGGGTGATTTGCTAGTTTTTATATGGGGTATTTGTAGGGTGTTGTCAACTTTACAAGGCTTCCCTTGTGGCTCAGCTGGTAAAGAATCCGCCTGCAATGCGGGAGACCTGGGATCGATCCCTGGGTTGGGAAAAACCCCTGGAGAAGGAAAAGACTACCCACTCCAGTATTCTGGCCTGGAGAATTCACAGAGTCAGACACGACTGAGCGACTTTCACTTCACTTCACAACTTTACGGTTTCATTTTGAAGTCTCTTACATATGGGTATGCATGCTGAGTATCCACCACGTAACTCTGTAAAACTTCGCTTTCATATGCGGCTTTATAGGTTCAAGCAGTGTTTCAAAAGCTAGTTTTGACAGGGGGACTGCAGTTTGGATTAAATTTCTGAAGACCTCAGTTACTTCGAGTAATTATAAAAAAATCCCTCTGACAGGGGATTTTAAAGACACCGGCTTCTCTTTCGGTGGTTTAAGCGGAGTTTTGTTTTCGAGTATATATGTGTTAACGGGGCTTATCTGCACAGCTATAATGTAGCTGTGCGGTCCGCATGAGACCAAACTGGTGAAGAAACCCGACTAGCCACCCGCATCCTGGCGAGCTCTGCAGACACAAGTGGGCGCGATAAAGGATCTATTTCTGAGCCCTGTGTTTGAAACGTACTTATTTAAAAACTGGAAAACCAACCCTAGCTCTGAAATCGCCGTTCGAGCGCGGAGTGGTGGGGGGAGTTAAAGCAAGAGGGGAATAATGTCATCAGCCTGCAGATCTTCAAGGAGCTCTAGGATTGGAAAGAGAGACGCATTCTTAGGTTGCCTAGCGATAAATCGGCCGATGATATCATTCTCCCGGAGGCCCGCCTCCCCCTCCGGTCCCCGCCTGGCTTCCCTTCCTCCGGGCCCCCTCCCCCTCCTCTCCCCCCTCCCACGCCCGGGTTCAAAGTACAGCCGAGCCGGGTGAGGGAGCCCGGGCCGGACGCGGCGCTGTCACGTGCACCCGCACATGCCGCGGCGCACGCTGCGCGGCACGTGAGAGGGGGCGGGGCGGGGACCTGGAGACTCCGGAGCGCTGCCTTCTGCGCCTGCGCGCTGGCCCCCGTTTCCCCCCCACCCCCGACCCCCGCCCCCCAGCCAAGAAACTGACTCCAGGGAGCCGGCTGGGGGCTGGGGTGGATTGGAGGGCGGTCGGGCGGAGGGCCGAGCAGAGGGTTGGGCGAGGCGGCCGGGCGGGGACAGGGACGCACCCTCCCGACAGCTGCGCCGCACCCTGCTTCTCCGAGTCCTAGCGGGCCGGGCCGCGGTAGTCATTCCTCCCGAATTAAAGCTGGCTGTGACTCCGCGCTCCTCGAACCATTCTGACACAGCAGTTTCCGAGCAGCCCTGCCGGGAGCGGGTTAGAGGAAGGTCGACAGCCGCCCCGGAGGGCCTGGGGGCGGGAACTTCATGCCCAGGCTGGCCGCAGCCGGGGGAAGTGACAAGCTGGGGGGTGGGGTAACACCCTGTGACACACCCGGCGGCGCCGGGACGCGGGCCAGACCCTGGCCTGACCTGGGCACGTCTTGCTGGAGAAACCTCTGGCAGTGGCGGGGGGCAAGGTTGGGGGGTCGGGGTTTGGGGGAGCATCTCTCATTGGTCTCAGTTCTGCAAATTGAATTCTCACTAATCAGTAGGGGATTTATTTGTGATAAATATATGGGGACTTTCCAGGCAAGGTGTAAAGTAAAAGGAGTGAGTCTATGGCCCTAAAGGATTCTGCAGGGTGGAGGAAATTATTCAGGGGCTGGGGGATGGGTTTTATGTTATATTTTCAAAAATTATTTAGAAACGCTTTCTGTTAGGAAAAATGAGCAACTCTCACATTTTGGCTTTTTGAAGTGATCGCAGTAACTTGATTTTGTAACACGTCTGGAAACGTGCATGTTTATAAAGGATCTAAAGTGAGTAATTCCTCTGAAGGAATGTGGAGTTCGTGAGGCCTTTTGGCCAAGCGGGTGCACACGGGGCAGTGTTACAAAGATAGAGAAGCCTCACTACCCCTTTGCAGATTTGGTCCGGGTCATGTGATGGAAAGTGAGCTCGGGGGTTGCCAATAATATTTGGACAAGTCAGGTGCCAGTATTTGCTAAGACGTGCTAGAGTGGTTGTAAACGCTCCAGAGTAAAGGGCACACTGCGTGCCGCCCTGGAGGCAGACTGCTGTGAGCAAACAGACATTCCCAAAGCACAAAACGAATTCATGGTTGTTTGCCTGCTAATAATATGTATGCATAATGTCTTGCAGGTTGAGTCTGAATAACACTTCTGTACCACCCAAAGTGTTTGTAGGAGACAGCTTAGTTATCAGTAATACTCTGAAAGTTGAAAAAGCAGAGGTAAATTTTGAACATTGAGTCAACAAATATCTA